TTTCAGTTTTTGGTTCCTGGAGTGGATGTTTTGTTCCCTGAGGCTGAGCACAGCTCCCCAGTGCATCATGAGGAAGATGCTTTTGAAGGTCTAAGAATGAAAAAAAATTCTTGCTTCTTTTGTACCTTGAAAGCAACTGGATCAGGTATGGAAGTGCAAGGAGCTCTCCCCAGCTAACTACTAGAGGTTGCTTTCTGTGTGGTGTTTGCTAACACATAATGTAGCCCAGGATTTCAGAGAGCTTTTGAGGCACTTGGGCCAAATTTGGAATGAATCTAGATATTACTTTTTTTTTTTTTTTTTTTTTAATTTGGAAAACTTCTGCAGACTGTAGGTGCTGCGTGTTTCCAATCTGCACCTGGTATTTGCTTGGAGTCTTTGGGTCTGTTGGAATCCAAAGCCAGGAAGGTTCATGCAAAGTGTTGTGACCCAAAACTGTTCAATCTCAGATCTGCGGTCTCGAGCCGCAGCCTGACTTGAGTACTTGATGAGTATCAGCTGAGCAAGCATCACAACATCTGACTTCTGCCCATGAACCATAAACATTTTCCTCAGAGAACGAGGAGGTAAATTGGCCTTTGTGCAGGAACAGCCAGCTAGGCCGGGGCCGTGGCTTCCTCGTGCTCCATACCAGACCCCACAGTGCTCTTCTGCAAAGTTCTCCTTCCTTCTAAGTGAAGCCATATGAAAAAAAAAAAATCTATTCTTGAGAGTGGCTGAACCAACCAATTTGTTCAAGCTATTCTTCTGGTTGATTCATTTTTAACTGAAAAAAATGCTGATATATTGAAAGCAACCTGAAAAATGCCAAAAGGGAAGAAGGGGAAACAAGTTAAACCATTTGAAGCTCATAAAAAAAAAAAAAAAGAATTTAAGTGCAACCACATGAGTGGTGTAAAATCAGTGTAATACTTAATCCCATGTTACAGCACAATGTGTTAGATATCAGTTCTTCTAGAAAATAAGTCCCTAAAATAACCTAATATTTATGACTGAGATTTCACAACATGATCAGCTCACTGTGTCATGCTTGCAAGGGAAAAAAAACCTTTTAAAGATCCACTAAGATTGGTCTTCATTTCACTTGGCCAAGGTTTTTACTTGAATGCTGTTCTCAACTACTTCTTTATAGCAACATAACAGGAAAAAAAAAAAAAATCCCTGAGAGCCTCAGCAGCACATGGCTTGAAGAAAAAGATGGACCCAGCTTTGTGGAACACCTCTGTGTAAGTGCTCTCAGCGGAAAAGAGTGATGCGTAGGAGAAATGTAAGGGAAGGGCTGGTGCCACAAGTTCTTGGCTAAAATGTGCTTCACTGGCAGAACATTTAACAGAGCATTAGTATTCAGTGATGTTTTGCTGGACTCCCTTTCTTGCTAACACTTTAAACTCACTTTGTCCTTGACAAACATTGATTTTACCTTATGCCCAACAGTAATTTGCCCAGGCAGAAATTTATCCATCCAGCTGAAGGGCTGGGAGGCAGCAATCCAGCCTCCCAGCCATGGCAACATGGGTCAAGGACTAGACTTGGTTTAATTACGAGGGATAAAAAGACATTAAACACACAGTGCCTGTTCTCCTTGGTGTTGATGGATTATGATGGTGTTCATTGAGTAGCCCAATTTGCAATGGGTAAATTAGCTCAAACAAAGGTTATTTACTGTGCTGTGGACAAATACATGGGTTTGGCTTTTGACAATATTTTATGTGAATAATAAAGTGATGTTGATTTTTAATATTTCATTTACTTTCCAACAGTAGATGACATAAGTGGCTGCTACCCAGCAATTGTGTTTACTATGAACTTTTTACCTTGTTTCTGAGGAGCCATTCTTTAGATACATCCATCATCTCTTCCTCATATTATTGTCAAATAGCAATATATTTCATTCTCTTTCTTTGTCTTTGGGTTACTAAATCTATCATCTTACTGGGAAACTTATGGTATTGTCAGAAATTGCATATTATGCCCTGGATTAAGGCTGTTTAGCTTGAATGTGACAAATTGTTTAAAAATAGACTGTTAAGCTTTGTATTCATTCTCCACTCCAAAACTCTCTTTCATAACAATGTAAATAAAGGACTCCCAGAACTGATACAGTGGGGCTGGCACAGTAAGAAGAAAAGACTCAGCTATTGCCCAATTTACTTTAGTGCAACATGAATCTTAATTATATTGAACAAACATCAGACTGTGAGGTCTTGGGAGATGGAGTCATTAAGTAACAGTTTACAGGGAGCATTTGTCTTCAAGCAAATTCCCAGGCCTCCTTAATTTCTTCTGTAGTTTGTTAAAGGGGTTGAAAAGGAGAGGTGTAATATGGATTCACATTATGGCCAGTTCATTAAGCAGTATCTACAGCTGAGCCCCCAGGATAAGTTGAAATCGCTACCACAATAATTTCCAATTGTTCTGAGCATAGACACTGTCACATCTGCAGAGTTTGGGGTTGCAGGTGGCATTAGTGACTCCTGGGCTGCTCCTCTGTGCTGCTCTCTCCTGTGGGAGCTTGGAGGTCTCTGTCCTGCTCACCCATCTGCACCACAGAATTGACACTTGCAACTCTTGCCCAAACTAAGTACTGGATTTGATATTTTTCCTTTCAATTCCCACCAAATTTTTTTTCTTCTCAGAAGCATTTCCTAACCCAGCTACTGAATAGCAGCAGGATTCTAAATGTGGTTTCCAAAATACTACGTTTTTTTAACCAAATTGCTTTCAGATAAAAACAGCAAGTAAAACAGATGAGAACAGATTTTAAATGTTTTCCTCTCCCAAATTTGGTTTATCTCACTTGCCACAAGCAATATCTCTAAAATATATTTGTAATTCCATGCGCTGCACCCACTTTACAGATTTCCTGGAAGACTGTAGGGAAAGAATTATAAGTTCACAGAATGGTTTGGGTTGGAAGGGATCTTTAAAGGTCATCCAGTTCAATCCCCCTGCAATGAGCAGAGACATCTTCAGTTAGGTCAGGTCAGTCAAAGCTCCATCCAACCTGACTTTGAATGTTTCCGGGATGGGGTATCTACCTTCTTTCTGGACAGCCTGTGTTGGTGCAGACAAGAGTAAATTTTTCCCATGTGGTGTGAAGTATTAAGAAATTCCTTAAACTTGGGAAAAAAAAAGAAAAACCAACCTATTATTAAGGTCCCTTTTTATACAGAATATGGTTTCTTACAGGTTTCTCGCATTCTCAGTTGAATGGCTCCAACCCAAGCTTTATGTGGGAGCTCTGTGCATCCACCCTTTGATATCAACTCTCCTTTAAGCTGCTTAAAAGCATCAATACCAAACCCTTACTCTCCTGTTTAGATACTTGGCCCCCCTCTCCTACACCTCCATTAGGACATTTCCTCCTCCCTCAGGAGCAGCCTGTGCTTTCTGCGTGCTGCCAGCAGCAGGGAAAGCAGAATGGTCACTGAGTTTAGATTAAACAGATCCAGGAGGAGTCCTTGGCAAGGCAAGGAAGGATTAAGCAAGGCTGGTGCTTAAAGCACCCCTTGCCCTCCGAGGGAGGCTGGAAACTGCTGGAAATCTGCCTGGGGGTCAGACCCCAGAAATTAACCCAGAAGGTGGTGCAGGTAGAGGGGCTTTAATTGCTCAGTCACCACTGGTCTCCAAGGCTGAAAAAGGTGCTTCATCAGAGCTGTGGTTCCTCTCCAAAGCAGCTGGACTCGGGGATGGAGGAAGTAAACCTTTCTCCTGGATGTAAAGTGCTTTCAGGGTGGCTGCAAATATTCTGGAGGTGGTTTTTTGTCTCACCTGTAGAAACTTGTGAGCAAGTTACTTAGGGAGTAGTGGTAGACATTTCTATCAATCATTTGTGATTATCCAGGGCTCCTGTCTGCAGGTTGCCAATCCCACAGCAAGGGAGCAGGTGGGATTTGGGCTCCCACTGGAGCCCCTGTGAGGGCAGGGGCTCCTCTGGAGCTCTGTGGTGGGCTGGGGAGGGGGAGTGCTGGACTGTGTATCCAAACTTCAAAGAGGAAAACTCCAGGCTGTGGCTGAAATTCTGGAGGTGCAGTTGCACATTTGAGCACATAAATGTTTATGCAATGGGGGAAACTCTGATAGGAGTGCAGAAATATTTAATGATCTTTGTTTATCACCCTTTTCCAGCAGAAAGGAAAGGGAGCAGTGTTGTTTCACAGATAAAAAGCGAGTTCTTGCTTTTTGTTGATGTTGCTGTCACTCAGCAAATACTCCACCAGAGCTGGTGCAGGAGGCTGCAAAAAGGAGCTTTTTCTTCCAGCCTGGTATTAGAAGTGGTGTTTCCAGGTGCCAGGCAAGGAATGCTGGCTGCAGCAGAAAGGCTGCAACACAATGGCATGAAGGGCGTGGTGTTATGGCTTTGCCAGGGACGTGGATGCTCTGTGTGTGCTGGAGCAGTATTCTGTATCAGAGTTTATTGTTTGAGTGCTTTTTTTCCCTTAATTAAGGGTATTTTGTCACCTATGGCATTTTACTGACCCCTTAGCCATTGCTGCCCAGTAGGGTAAGAATACAGCAAGTTTTATATCTGAAATTAAAAATGTATGACCAGATCTAGGCTGTGTCAGCAGTTGCACAGAAGCACCTCTGACTCAGATAATGATTAGTATTAAGAGGTTAATGATCATTGCTTTAATACTTTAAATATTGTGATTTGCAAACATGTAATAGCCATTTGCAGCATGCAGGGACTGCACAGCAATGCTGCTTGCTCAGCAAAGGATATTTTCCAGAATTTTGGATCATGTTAGATCTGTGTTTCTCTATTATTTAAGCAATACTGATAACTTCAAAACCTGCTTCCCACAGGTTTTTTGTCTGGAATTACGTTTTAGGGGGAAAAAAAGTGGTATTTAAATTGTGCAGCAAACTAATTGTTTTGGTATTTGGGAAAGGGGTGAAGACATGAGATGGGTCCAAAGGGAAGGACATGTGGTAGATGCTCTCCGGACCTCACTGTCCATGCTCATCACTAACCCTGTGCTCTCTGCTTCCCACAGGGCCCCCGGGGAGGCGAGGGAAGCCCGGGCGGCGCGGAGAACCTGGTAAGCATCACCTGCCCCGGGGTGCCATGGGTGGTGTGGGAGCCTTTGGGGAACCTGCCACCTCCATCTCACAGCCTGTGGAACAGGGGCTTCCCTCACCCCTGTGTGCTGGGTATGAAGGGTTTTATTAAAAACTAAAAAACCCAAACCAAAACCAACTCCCAAAACCCTAAAAACCAAAACCAAATTTTTAAAAAAATTGAAGGAAGAAACCAGTTAATCAAAACAAAAAACCAATTTCACTCAAAACACCCACAGCTGTTGCATCTTTTATCCATCCTTCCATTTCTCTTTGTAGCATTCAGTCTCATCACTGCCCACCCAACATTGCAGAGGGACAGTGAAGGAGCATGGAAATAGGGAATTCCCCAGCCATGCTGGATGGGAGGTGTGCACTGGCTTCTTCTCTGCATGTGGACATGTCCATATGTTGCCTGCCAGCCATGGGGTGCTGCTGTCTGCATTTGGGAGTCAGGAATACCCAACCTCAGCCACCAGCCTTGGGCACATCCCCTGAGCATCAGTGTGCCCTCAGCCTGGCTGAAACCACAGAGCAGCCCTGCTGGGGGTTTTCACTTGACTGACTGTAATTCTGTGTCTCTGTCACTTCAGTGTATCTGGTGAGGTTTGGGGCTTTGTCCCCACCCTGGAATGGGAAAGGGCTGCTCCTGTTTCAGCTGGGCAGAGGGGCTGTTTACATTCTGCTGTTGGGTCCGAGTGCTGCTGGAGAAGGGAGAGATGCAGCTGGTGTTGCTCTTTCTGAGGAAAACAGACAGGGGTGTGCCAAGAGACCCAGGCAGATTTTGGGATTGCCTCACTGTGCCAGAAAGCAGCACATGAAATTACATGTCCCAGCTCTTAGGTTCTTGAACACTGATGGAATAAACTGGAACCAGTGGATTTTCATTTAGTGAGAAGGCTGAATTCTGTTCTCTTGCTTCCTCTTGCTATTGAAAATTCACAACTGGGTTTTCAAAAAGGGCAGCATAACTTTCTGATCACCGATATTTTAAACAATTTTTTTTAAACTCTGAGATAAGGAAATTGTGTGGATATGTGCTGCACACCAGGAACAGCATATGAACTCATGGACTGATGGACAAGAAAGGCAGGCAGGCATTTCCCTTCTCTTCCACTGATGGCATTCCTGAGTGCATTAGGGGTTTTCTAAGATATTTTTGTTCCTGAAGCATCAGGGATTTACTCCTGACCAAGGGGTAGGTGCTGATGGGGTGGTGTGGAGCCCAGCCAGCTTCATTAATTTGTTTCATTTTCCCAGCAGCCGGGCTGTAGGAATGGCCACCAGAGAGCTTTGATTATTTTCTTGGATTTTTTTTTTTTTAATATCACCTAAGGGCTTTAAGGAGCACAGCGGAACACAGCATTCTACCAAGGGCAGCTTGAGAGGTCAGCCAATGGGTCTGATTTTATATGCAGGCATTTATGTAAATGCTGTGCAAGATGTGTCTCTGGTCCATACAAAAATCTGGGAGGTAATGCTGGGCTCACACATTCCCTTAAATCTCTTCTCCCTGCTTCATGCAAAACTTTTCAAAAGCAGAAATTTCCCTCGTGCTGTGACACATCTGCAAATGCACTTGAGCTTCACTCTGAGGAAGCAGCAAACTGCCAGGGAATTAATACAGAACCAGCAAGAAAACAAGCATTGTAAAAGAGAAAAAAAAATTTAATTAATTATTGACAATAAAAAATCTCAAACCTTAGTAACTGCTTTTTTTAAATTTCTGCAGTTGTGGAGGAAAATAGAGAAGAGTGCAGCTGCCACCCCCTGCACACAGCCACACACTGGGGCTCAAAGGGGCACCCCAGTGAAATCCAAGGAATGCAGTGCAGAGCCTGCACTGCCCCACTGCAGATACACAGGGAGCAGGCATCCCACTGTGTGTTGCTTTTGGCTGAGCTGGCTGATGTTTGTTTCTCCAGATAACTTGAATATATATTTCTATATCTGTTTGAGAACCTGACCACACATAAACTGGGCCCTTGTTCCTTCACTACAGCTGATAAATGTGAATAAATCTTTGTTTGTGTAGCATGCTGGTGTCCATCCCCAGGGACCTGCCTGGTCAGGGCTTCACAGCCTCCAGACAAAGGATGTTGAAGAGCCAGAAGGCTCAGCCCTGCCAAGAGAAGTGTTTTTCTTTGGCTTTTGTTGAAACAGTCATGTTGAAAAACCTTTTCAGATTATATTGAAACTTTCAATGTATACCTCTAAGAAACAAGCAGAGAAACTATTAAGAGATACTCCTGTCCCTTTTAATCACACCCTCTTGTTGATCTAAACCAAGACTGATTTTTGCTTTTTTCTTCTGCCATGATGGATTCAGATGAAATAAATTAATCCTACAGCTCTGTTTCTCTAAACTAAGAATTCATCATCATGAAAACACATCGGGACAACTGCTCTCTTCCACAGATATGCACCATTCCATGAAAGATTAATTTTTAAACCATTTCTGGCCAAAAAAAAAAAAAAACCAAAAAAAACAAAAAAAAAAAACCCCAAAAACTATTTATACTGTTTGGATGTGGGACAAGCCTGGCTCCACATGCTTAAAAAAACAGTTGTTAAACTAATGGGGTGAACCCCCATTGCCCCCAGAACCTGCCAAGGGCAGGCAGTGGGTCCTGCTGGGGCCTTGTCTCTGGGCCAATAGTTTATTTTGCTGTAGAGAAGCATAAAGGCAACAAGTTTCCCCCTGGGGAGCCCTGGAGGGCAGAGGGGGCTGCACTAAACCCCAGCCTCCCTTCGGGCTTCACGACTCTGGTGGCAGCTCGAGCTCCCCGTGGTGGCACTGTCGTCCCCCTGTCATCCCTTCCCTGACCTCAGACACAAGGATCAAGTACCTGGGGAGTGTTTCTGCCACCATCAGCCCAGCTGAACAAACCAGGGACTAATTGAGTCAAATGGCTCCATCCAACCCATTTTATTTACTCTCTCCATCATCTGGCCCTGTGGGAATCACTGCTGCAGCAGAGGAGCAGTCCTGGAGCTGGGCACAACCACTGCAGAAGAGGCTACTTTTAAAAACCAATTTATCCCACTGTTGCTACCACAAGGCCAGAAAATTCACACCAGCAGCTTCCCTGGGGGATGTCACTTCGGTTGTTTGGTCTGGTCCAGCAAGTCCTGAGCTCCATCCCACCCTGCCAGGACAGGCACAAGGGTCCCAGCACCCTTATTCCTGCACATGATCATCAGCAGTTTCTTTTCCAGCTGGAAAGCAAGCACAGACTTGAAGAGTCATGTGCACCGACCCATGGAAGCAGTGTATAAAAAGAAAAATGCATTTTAATACAATTTAATGTGGGATTTTTCAGCCTTCTCTCACTGTGGGGTTGGAAGAAAGATTTTGCAGCATTTGCTGTCATGATTGGCCCTGACAGCCAGCCTGCTCATCTCAGATGCAGTTCCTTTTGCTTGCCAAAGGCAAAATCAGGTTTAATGTCATGTTAGCTTATTTTTCCAATGTGATATGTCCCAGTGAGGACACAGTTCAACTGCTGGAGTGAGCGTTAGTGAAAATAACACGGATTTTTGCCAGGGACCTGGGAGGTTTTGGTTCCCCCCTTGCTGCCAGCTGGTGCTGTGTGAGCAGGATGGGGTACGGATGCACAGCCCTCACGGGGCTTTGTGTTTATTGTTTTAAAGATTGAGCCATGCTGGGGTGTTCCTGAAGGATGGATGAATAGGATCCAGGATTTGGGAGCTTAGTGGAAGTATTGGTTCAAAGGCTTTGCACAACTAGACAGTGGGATATGATGTTCCTGTCTCTTGGAATGTCGTTCTGCTTTCTTCCCCTGGCTTGACAATTGATCCAAAAACGGATCTGAAGCTCAGAATCTCTCAAGATAAACCAGGAGACAATTGACATGAAATGTTCAGCTGGGGAAGTATCTGAGTAAGGCTCTGCTCTCCTCACATGAGGCAAGAGCTGCCCCAGGCCACAAACACCCAAAGCTGATGGCTGGGGCATTGTGTAGCTGCTGTTTGCACAAGCTGTGCACAGCTACAGCCCAGAGGGACAAATGCTGACTGGTTTAGGCACAAAATTCCCTTTACAGGTGGGCCTGAGAGGGCATTATTTTGATGAAGTGTTATTTCATTGAAAAATCCTGACTTGGCATAATTTCTGCTTCTGGCAGAAAAAAGTTTTGTTTACAAAATGTTTTCAAAAAGCACTTTTTGGGGAAATGTGTTGAAATCTTGCTATGGAATAGAAGTCTTCTGCCCACCATCCATGATTTTTTCTTTTTCTTTACATTATGCTGTAGGTGTTGCCTTAACTTGAACTTCTAACAAAGTTTTAATTGAAAGGGGTTTTTTGTTTGTTTGGGAGGGGTTTTTTTTACATCTATTCTCTTTGTGCAAATATCCTGATTTGGAACAAGAAGGAATCTAAAGCTTTTTTAAAAGGAAAGAAACAATCTAAAGCTTTTTTAAAAGGAAAAAAACCAATGTGATTTCTATGCAGGGAATGCTTATTTCTCTCCCAGCCCTATATATACTTAAAATCCTGTATTTTATATATCAAAATTTATGCTTTCAAACCTATTAGCCATGTGATTGAATGGACAAGTGTAAATATACAGTTGTTATTCAGTAAGTACACACAGGGCTGCATGTGGGTAAATCACACAGAAAATTGTATATATTTGTGATTTCTATTGCTCCCCCTATTTCTCATTATGAACTGCCTGTGACAACCTCATACCCAAGGATTTCTTCTGCTGAACTTTGGGAAAAATCTAATCTGTCCCATATGTGCTCTCAGTAATGAGCCTGTGCTAGGAGAGCATGTTCCCTGTGTGCCCCAGCACTGAGGCACAGACAGGAGTTAGAGGGCAACATACAGTGACAAAAAGCTTTTCCCAGATTCTGAGGCTTCTTATGGCTGTAGCAGTTGTTACCTGTTGTTACCCATGGCTCAGTTACTCCCCTTACAGCAGAATTAATAGCTCTATGTGTATGTATATGCATAGTGCTTGTGTTTAAATACACATAGCCAGGTATTAATATAGATTTTTAAAATTTTTGGTTTTGTTTTTTACATCTCTGGGTGGCCACAGATGCATGTTTGCTGCCTTGGGAGTGGGCAATTTGCCCTTTAGAGTTGCAGCAAAGTCCCCTCTGACTCTTCCTGAGCTGTTGGAAATGTCTGGCTGGTTTTGTTTCCCCTGCCTGGCTCTCTACTCTCAGGGCGGGAGAGCTTGCATGATAAATGATCTGCAGATTTAACAGAAATATCATCTTATCCCAAAATTTCCAAGCTGAACAAATACTTGGAAATAAATGACTGTGACCTGTCATTTCCCATATGTTTGTGTACTGCTGGGGATGATGCTGCTGTGACCCGCTCAGGCTTTGGATATACAAAATAACATTAATGTTGGTCAATCAGGAAATCTGGGTCATTAATTTTTAATGAGTTTTGATTTTCACCTCCCGCTAGTACAGCTGTGCATGTTCTTAAGGAATCTTTTTTTTTGTTGTTTCTAAGTATCTCCATGCTCTTGCATGCTTGAGCACAAGGTGCTCACTCCTGGTTACAGCAGCATCCTCCCTGTTCAGATAAATCAGTCATAGAACAAAATCTGTGCATTTGCAGGTTATTTTTGTCTTTCTCCTCTGCCTGCTGAAATCAGCCCCCAAGTTAATTTGTCACATAGTTTTCAATACACAAAGGCTGTTTTCAACTTTTATTTGTTTTAAGAAGAATTTCCAAGTTGTTTCTCTCTTCCTTGCAGCCTCTCAAACTGATTATTGCCAGTCAAAATTATTAGCAGTAAATTCTGGCAAATTTCTTTGAAAAGAGCATAAATCTTGTGCAATGTGACCACAATGATGAGATGGCTGCATGAGGGGCAACCCCTGGGTACAGGATCAGCTTCTTTATTTATTGTTGAATTGCAAAAATATCTGACTTTTTTTCCATAGGAAACAAGTGTTTTGTGGCTGGGCTGTTGAAAAACACATTCAGCAAATCAGAAAGTTATGTTGTTCTTAGGAGGAGAAAAGATCAGTTCAACAGGTTTAACTTTATGCCTTAATGAAGATTTATTTAGCCTCAATTGGCCAGCAGCACAGTGAGAGATTGGTGTAACTCCACTGGTAGGGCTGGAGAACATCCAAAGGTGCATATAGAGACCCTCCCATTTGACTCATTCCTGGATTTGGAGGAGGAAGCACTTTAAAAGAGCACTTGCCTGCACTTGTTGGGGAGAAAAAAACAGTAGCTGAGAAAAGGAAAGTAGGCAACAAATTCCAAAGAGATTATAATTGGTACATGATTTAAATCCCATATTAAAATAATTTCCTGCCCACTTCTTTGAGACTTAAGTCTTGACTTTTCCACAAAAGGGCTCTTGTGGGTAACCTGGTGTAAGTGAGTTAATAAATCAGGTTTATGATTCTCAGTTAATAAATTGGCACGGAGCCACTGGCTTCTGTATTCAGAAGAAATTAAACCAAGGAGAACAAGTTAAGCCCCTGTGCTCCTGGCCTGGAGGTTGTCCCTGCCCCAAGTGTGGCTGTGTGGCACTGACCCCCTTCAGGTGACAGACACTGGTCAGTGGGATGGCTCTTGGTGCACTGCCAGCCATTACTTGCTGCCACCCCTCATTCTTAGGCTTGTTTGGTTTTTATTTAATTCAACTTAGCAATGTTTTTAATTTCAAAATTAATTTTTAAATCCTTGAAAAGCCATTGACTTGAAATATGCTTCTTGAATAATATTGTTGAATAACACAGATGAACAAAGCTTTTTTTTTTTTTTTTTTTGCCTCCATTTTAAGCTTTCCCACATTTTTTTCCTTTTCTAATTGTGTTTCTAGTTTCTGGTTTTGATCAGGCAAGAATCAGAGCATGAAGAAATCCCTAACAGAGCTATAGGCTGCCTTGTGAACAGGAGTGCAGCATGGATTGCTTTGGATTAGGGCTCAGTGCTCATCTCAGTGCAGCAGCAGTTTGGGAAAGCAGTGGGAAAAGTGCAGGAATTGGTGTGGCTGGTGGTGAACTCCCTGCCCTGCTGGGGGACTTTGGGGAATGTTTCTTTTCCTACTGCTGAAGCCAGAGCCAGACTGTGCCCCTGGCCCCCAAAGCCTGCCCTGGGTGTGGTGGGAATTTCCCTGGAGCTGAGGCACAGTCCAGGGAACACAAACAGAGGCACACGGGGGTGACACAGGGCTCTGGGGTTGTGTGACGTGTGGAGGTCAGGGAGAGCTGGGCACATCCAACAGAAACATCTGGGGTGTGTGGAAGCAGCAGCACTGCCCTTGTCAAGTCCCTACCAGACTGCTCCTCTGGCTTTTGTGAGCTTATAGCCTGCTCCTTCTGTGTCAGAATCTGTGCTATTGATGATCCTGAGATTGTAGAAAGTCTCTGTCTTTCTGCCCCATTGCCAAAGAAGAAGCCATAGTTCGTCTGTGCTGGTTTCAAGGTTGTTTATTCTGTTTATCTCTAACATGTTCTGCTGCCCTGCTGCAGCTCTGTCCTGCAGGGCAGCGTGTGGGGCTCTGCCCTCAGTGGGATGGTACAAACATTAAATACCACAAACTACCTGTGCTGGATTTACAATAACGTGCCAATATCTGTCACCTACATTGAACAGTGTGTCCCCAGCCTGAACCAACAGAAAAATGCCAACACCACAGTGAAACATGGAGGGCATGAAGAAGGAGAAAAAGGACAGGACACACCCAATTTCCTCCATCTTGTCCCCTTTGGACCCCTTATCTAGAATCCTAAAATTTTACTTTTGCAGCCGTGCCACACTTAATTATCACTTATATCAAACACTCAGAGCTTGTAATTCACCCTGTAAGATTGAAAACTCTTTTCCATGGACAGAGATCACAGACAGTGTCTCTGGGGGCTCTATACAGGGGATTCCTGACTCCTGCCAGGGTCCCAGACCTGCCAGGGCAGCCAGAGGGAAGCCCTGGATTCCCACACTCCTGTATTACCCAAAGGATACATGAGGTCCATGGAGAAAATACAGATTTATTCCTAAGAATTTGCACATTTTTCTGGCTGTTTTGGTCTCCTTTTTGCTGGCCACAAGTGGTGCCCAAAGCCCTGATGTCCCGCACATGGGCCCTGTCCTGTGACATGCCGAGTGTCTTGTGGGGGGAGAAGAAACAGAAAAAAATGTGAAAAAGATGGGGAAAGAGTGGGTGCACACCCCTGCCAGCACTGCTGTGCCAGCAGCACGGGTGAGACGGGGCTGTAACAGGAGGGTGTGGATGGTGCTGAGTGTATCTGGGAGGTCATTGCATGGAATTGGACTGAAGAGTCCTAAATCATTCTGGTGTTGGTTCCTGCTTTGTGTTGCTTTATCAGATTATAATTTTTCTTTGAAATTGACTCTTTTTCTTCTTTGTTTTTCTTTTGTTTTCCAGGACCTGCAGTAAGTATCGTGGATTTTACTGTTGGATCAACAAAGTTAAGGCTTCCCCCTCCCCTGCCTTTCAGTGTCCTTGCAAAAGCACAGCATTTTTTGGTAGAGGTGTGTCTGGAAACAAAATCAGTACCAGATGCTGCTGTATTTTTTTTTTCTGTGATTGTAGACAAATTGTGGGGGGAATTTTAAAATGTTTAGCTTGCTGCCCCAAGGGACTCCCACTAATTTTAAACTCGGAAAATATTCAGTAAAAAAGGGTTTTCTCTTTAAAGAGTTCTTTAGTCTGCCTCTATTTAACAGAAAGAGTGCTGTACTAATATTTAACATGTTACTGGGTTTATTGGTTCTAAAGCTCTGTCTTGCTTTCTTATCTATTGTGTTTCCAGCATTTAATATGGGTTTGGTTGCCTCACAAGGGGGGCTAGAGGGAAAACCATAGCATGCTTGCTTCTTTCTTTGAAGTCTTGGGTAGAATAATGAGCATTCCTACCAATACAACCAGAAAATTTATGGGGAAATAGTTGTTTGAAGGGGTAATAGTTGAAAATGTGTCAACTCCTCCTTTCAAATGTTCAGACGTGCCTTTGGCTGTGCCACCACATCCAAATCTGTTGTTCTTCTGCTGGTTTTGGAGTGAGAATTTATGTTTTATTTGTGCCCTGCAAGTTGCTGAGGGTTGGTTTAAAAAATAAATTATGTGTATTAGGTGCTTCTGGTTTTGTACCTTTCTTTCCCCAAAGGAGGAGGAGGAGGAGAGGTTCAGGCTGTTTGCAGCCACATTTCCTTGTCTGTCATTGTAGTAACACAGGCATTTCTTCATGTTGTTCTCTTCCTAGAGAGCCTCACTGGGTTGAAAGGGCTTATTTTAAGGAAAATAAATTTGGCAACTATTCCTGGGCTAATAAATTTCCAGTTCTGTTTTGGTGACAGTAAGTGGGGGCTGTCCCAGCACCATGGCTTTGGCTCTCCTGGGGCTGGCAGCACTGCCCATGGGTTTAGTTAAGGGTTTTCAGCCCTTTGAATTTTTGCTACTATTTCAAGTTCAACGTAAATACTTAAGAGACAGTTGAGCAAAACGATTATTTGGGATTACAAATAAAGAGGATACTGGGATACTGCCTATTTAAAACTCTCCATATGCACCTTTAAGTGACATTCCCCATTGACTGAAGTACTTTGGCTAGTTGGAAATGGGTTTGTGTAGCTCTTTGGTTGTGCTCAGAGGCTCTTATCAGCCCACACGCAGCCAGGGTGGTGCTGCCTCACGTGTGCTGTCTGGTCACGTTTATTATGGCGATCCAACACAGGCAACATATGGTGCACTATTAATTTTTCTTTGTCTCTAGTTGGTTTCATTTCCTGGTTCTCACGGCACTATTGAATTGCAAACGGAGCACAGGGGAGATTTAACACAAACAAGACCTTTTTTTCCTTTCCTCTCCCCTTGCCCTTCTTTGAAAGACAACTCCTGGTTTAGTTAATTTTTGGGTTGGGTGGGGTTTGTTGGTTGGTTGGTTGGTTTTGGTTTTTTTTTTAATCCTGCTTTTTAGCATAAATGGTCTTTGCCAGAGACTTCTTTAAGCATAATATAAAATAAGTCCTAGAACCCACAGAACCACAATATTATTTTACTTTAACAGTACTGCATTTATTAGTTTCTTCTGTGTCTTGATTTAGGCCAGAAGGAATCGATTACTTCTTACATGTACAGCATTACACTACTCTAACTATATCCCCAATTCTGTTGTTCCCTAGTAGCAGTTGTTCCACTATTTTATTCTTTTGGCTGTCATAAGTTAGTTATGCATATAAAATTATTAGAATTTGTGGTACAGGATTTGTGGCTGATGGATGATTGATTGTCCTGTCTGTGAGTAAGGGGTATTCTGCTCAGATATGCTATAAAACCTCTGTTTTGGAGAGTATTAAAATCACATGCTGGGTAGGAAATTTCTACAATTGAAATATAGACTTACCACAGACTGTAATTAAACATTTACAGTCACAGATATTAGCAAACACATTATGTGCTGGTGTGCTGGCTGGGGGACTCACCAGCAAGCGAGGGCAGGGCGTTCCAAGTGCTTCCTATTTATCTGTGTGTGCTCCACTGCCATAGCTCTCCATAAAACCTCCCTGCACACTTTATCCACGCTGTATTTGGTTAAATAAGGAGTTGCTGAAGTCAGTTTTGTTTCTGGATGAGCCAGGAGTGCTGCAGGAGGCATTAGAGCTGCAGGGGTGCTTAGGAGAAGGGAGAGCCTCCTGACTGGTGTGAAGGGCTGCTGGAGCTGTCCCATGCCATGAGCAGAGCCTGACTCCAGCTGTGCACCCCCAGCACGCTGACACCAGCTGGGTTGGTGGCAGCAGATGACATTTGCACCAGACACTCGCCTCGCTGCCTGTTTGTGTGCCAGCTGAATCTCCACAGCTCCTTCCCGGGACCTGCCATGGGTCTGGCTTGCAGCAGGCTTTGCTGTACCTCACGGCGTGGATAGCAGCCCCTCGGGCTGTGAACACCTCTGGGAACCCCCCGAGGCAGGCACGAAAGGTGAAATACCCTGAATGGGCTGAAATACCCTGAACGGGCTGGGTTTTGCTCTGCTGATCCTGCAGCTGCTGCTAGGAACTTCAGTAGGGTCACTCTCTGCAGCATCAGCTGTGCTTTCTGCTTCACTGCAAACAAAGCTAAGCTTAGATGTGAGCTGGGACAGTGCATACTGCAAGGAAGTGAATGGATCTTAGAGGGGTAAACCCTCATGAGATCAAGTGCTGGAACAGGAGTTTGAAGCTCAGTGGTTGCTGTCCTGGCTCCTGCCTCAGCCTCCATGACCTCTCCCCAACACTGAGGTGTTTTCCTTCCTCTTGGCACCTCCATCCCAGGGCAGCTTTTTGGCCAGGAGCCGGTGTGTGCCATGCATGTCTGTGGTTTCAGGGCAGCAGGGGCTGGGCACAGGCAGCAGGGATGGGTGCACGTTGGCAAAACCTGTGGTAAGTAGCCAAAGTGGGGCAGGAGATGACAATCCAGGGGAAATACACTGTAGGTGTGACTTCTCTGATAGGAAAGTTGCCCCAGGAGGTTTGTCCAGAGTTTAGTGCCAGGGCTGGCTGGAGAGCCGATGGCCCCGTGTCCTGCCTGCTGCTATGTGATGTCAAACTTGTCCAGGTGCATTGACTGACTTATCTCCCTTGTTCCCCCCCACAGGGGCAGTCAGGACGCGATGGTTACCCGGTAACTCCACTGCTCCTTTTATTTTTATTCTTTTCTAATCTGCGCTCTGTGGTCCTCTCCAGCATTTTCCGTGACACTTGATTTTCCTTGCCTGTTTTAAGCTTATTTTTTTTCACTATTTCCCTCCTCTCTTTCTTCATTAGCAATAGCCTTTGAGGGATTCAGCCCTAAAACTTAAAAGTCTGAGCAATAATCTCCCTTAATGTTTGTAGGGATAAAATACTTGAGCCCTTTCATGGTTGTATTCGTGCTGAAAGAGTTCACTGGACTGCAAAGTGAGTGAAGGCTTTGGGGTTTGTCCCACTTAGAAATCTAATAGGGGATACTGGTGAAAGAGCCTCAGGTGTTGAGATAGATCCTCATTTGCCCATATCCAAAAATTTGTCTGTGGGTGCAGAGCTGTCCTGCTGGATGTGCAGGAGGAAGGAGATCTTGTTCTGGCCAGATCCCAAACCTCAGCCTCCTGGCTGGTTCCCCTCTCCCTCATCAATGCCCTCGGATGGCCACACTGCTCCAGCTCCGAGGGCTCAGAGCTCATCAGGGAGCCACTCACTCGGTGTAAGGGGCTGGTGAGAAGCACTGTGTAAATTCTCCATGTACATGGCGTGGAGAGAGATCTTCCAGCTCTGCTCCTGCTTTTTGGATTGATGCGGTGAGCTCTGCTCTGCCTGTTGCTCTGGAAGGGGTGTATTGGCTTTTCTTAGCCTTCTCCTTCCTGTGGTTGATGCCCTGTTTTCCTTTTTTTTATTTTTCCTTTTTTTCCTTCTTTTTTTTTCTTTTCTTTTTATTTTTTCCCTGAATGAGTGTGTTAGAAAAACTCCCTGCTTGTCTTTGCCACCACATGCCCTGGCCTGATTCCCCTTGAGTGCCCAAAAACCATAGAAACATCTATTGAGTTTTATGTGTGTCATGGAGCTCGAGAGAGGAGGATTGGAAGGGAATTCCAGGGCTATTTGCAGTTTTCACTTCCCCGGACCCCTGTGATCCTCCCTGGGGAGGACAGCAGCATTTCCCCAGAAATGGAGAGGTGGGAGATGGGGTTAATTTTGCAGAGCCAGCCTGTAGTGCCCTTGCATCCCTGACATGGAAGGCCTGGGGACTGCACCGAATGCTGAGGATAGATCAGGTTTATTGGGAGGCTGTGGCCAGCAGGGCTCCCAGGGAAGGCGTTTGTCTCCCTCAGCTGGCACCTGCCCGGAGATGCTGCAGCCAGGAGGTTCTACAGATTCCTCAGGGGTCTGTTGGAAATTGAGAGTTTAATTTATTAAAAGTTAAGATGTGAATTTTCACTCTAGTGGGATGTTGATTTTCATTTTTAGGGTGGCTTTTTGCCTTTGTGGGGTGTGGCAAACCCTGCTGGATTAGCAGTGCCCTTGGCAGGTTTGTCCCTTCTCCTGTGTCAGTCATGTGGTTTAGTGGCAGAACTCTGAAAACCAGAAACTCTGTGAGGAAACAGGGACTGTTCCCTAGGAGAGAGCGTCACCACTGTCCCCTGGGCAGCCTGGCACCTTGCCTGTCCCAGCTCCTGGAGAGGGATTTTGGTGATGCTGCAGCACTTCTGGATGGTATCAGGGTCTGGGAATGACCTCAGCTCTGCTGCCACATCTGCCCTGAGAAAATGGCATTAGCATCACCACGAGTTTTTTCCTCCCCTCTCTTACCCCCAGGACCTGCAATCCTGGTCCAGGCTGGCCTTACCCTGACTTTGAAACCAGCAAACACTGAATTACTACATCCACATGGCTGTGGATGCACTAATTAACTGTATCTAATAAGGAGGTGAGGATAATTGTATTTCCAAAGCAAGATGTATCCCTGAAGAAGGAGGAAACAAAACATAAAGCAGGCTTGGGAGTATTATTCAGCAGAAGCATATGGGCAGGTTTTATTAAATCCAGTTGCATATTCAAATTAATTTACTTATTTAGGTCCCTTCATGGTGATCAAATAAACTCTGAGCTGTTTCAGGGGATGGATGTGATGAAAATGCAGAGGTAGAAGGTGGATATTAAGTGGTGTGTGGTAACACATTCATCCCTTGGCCAGCAGTGCTTTGAGCTGCTAGTTTATTACTGAGCTGCAAGCAAATGAAGCTTTAAAGGGATGAAGTGATCCAGAGCTCTGGAAATGGGACTGAGAGATAAAACAGCTTATATAAGATGATTTCAATATTTTATACTTAACATCTTAAGCAGTTTGGGCCTTACAATAAAATTTTACAGCAGAAACATTTTTTTTCTTTATGAAGTTCTGTAGGTTTATTGTTATTTTTGAAATCCCATAGAGGATTTTAGCTTCCATTTTTAACCCTATGGCATATCCTACTAACATTGTCATAACAGCTATGAATGATGTTGGGATTTGTTGCTCTTCTGCTCTTGTTTGATTTGGTTTTGACACCCCACTGATCATGCATCATAGTACATACCTCAGCCTGAATTTCAGTGTAAGGGCTGTAAGGTTCTGTCTTCTCTTGCCTCAGTAACATTTGAACTTGGCCAATTTCAGCCAGATTTGCCAGAAGGACAAAGACTTTGTAGAGAATAGTTTAACTTTTGATACTGTGGGCAGGTTAAGGGAAAAAGCCTTTCTGATGCCCACGGTAAGGCAGAAGCCATGCTGCCACAGAGCTGCCTGGAGCTCAGGTTTGCACGGGGGCAGCAGAGGAAAAGCAGATGTGCAGCCACCACCACGATGGAAATGTGTTTCTTGTTGGGCAGGAGCAGGCCCTGGGGCTGGGATCCCCTGGGATGTGTCCCAAGCTGTGCTTCCCCAGGCCAGGAGCATCCCTGCTGCAGAGTGGCTCCCCCAGCTTGGAGTGCTGTCAGCATGTTGGGTCATCTGTCCTGGGCAGCTGGGAGGGGCAGAGGGCTGTGCAGTGGGGCTGTGCTGTTTTGTGAGCAGGGCAGGCAGCTGCATCTGGGCAGGAGGAAAAGCAGAAAATGAGGAGCAGATGGGAGAGCTGAACTGTGAGTAGGCTTAGGGTGACCTTTGAGAGCAGGAGGATCTCTGCATTACACAGCTGTTTAATTGGATATTAGGAAACATTTCTTCACCAAAAGGGTTGTGAAGCATGGATCCAGATGCCCAGGAAAGTGGTGGAGTTACTGTCCCTGGAGGGATTTAAAAGATGTGGATCTTGATTTAGTGATGTGCTTGGCAGTGCTGGGTTAATGGTTGGACTTGATGATCTTAGAGGTCATTTCCAGCCTGAATGATTCTGTGGTTCTAAGCAATGGCTGTGCAGGGCTCTTAGCAGTCTTGCCCCCATCTCTTCCCCTGCCTCATGCAGGAATGGTTCTATACTTGCCTTCAAACTACTCAGTTCTCCTACATGATATTTCTCCCCTTTCCCAGTGAGATGCTGCCTTTGCGGTTCACCAGAACCCATTCCCTTCTCTTCTCCACTTACTGGAGAGGCCTTTTGAAGCCAAAGTCTCTGTTTCTTGAGAATTTCATCTGCCTCTACTGCTGATCCCTAAAATCAGTCTCAGCTACACCACTACGTGACATCCCAAATGCAGGGTTGTCACTTCAAGTGGGAAGAAACCAAAAGAATGAAGTTGATTAATGAGGGGAATTACTTCATGTGCATGTCTTCATTAATAGAAAGCAGAGCAGGGAAGAGGCTTTGCAGAAGAAAAGTATGATATGAAACAGGGTTGTCCCCTATTTTATACATTTCCCTTAGAATACTAGGATTTATTTTTAGTTGAGCAGTGTGTTACCCATTTTGTCCCTCCGGTGTGTAATGTTTGCCTTCTGAATTTTGTGAATCACTTGTGTGTTGCCTGGAAGACCACAGGCATTGTCCTGCCCATCTCTTGGAGCAGTGGGAACCTTCTGAGAAGGCAGGGAGAAAAGGCACCATGCTCTGCCTGCTTAGAAGTAATACAGCTTGTTACTGAAAATAATTCAGCATTGAGTACCCAGCTCTGTGGTCCCCAGCGCAGGAAGGATATTGATCTGTGGGAATGAATCTAGAGGAGGCCACCAGGATAAATAGAGGAATGGAGAACCTCTGCTATGAGGAAAGACTGAGAGAACTGGGATTTTTCAGCCTGGAAAAGAGAAGGCTTTGGAACATCCCAATTGCAGCCATGAAGGAGCTACAAGAGAGCTGGAGAGGGACTGTTTACAAGGGCCTGGGGTGACAGACAAGGGGAATGGCTCCACACTGACAGAGGGTGGGGTTAGATGGGATACTGGGGAGAAATTCTCTACTACACTGTGGCCCTGGCACAGGGTGCCCAGAGAAGCTGTGGCTGTCCTGGAGGTGTCCAAGGTCAGGTTGGATGGAGCTTGGAGCAGCCTGGGATAGTGGAAGGTGTTCTGGCCCATGGCAGAGGAGCTGGGCCTAGGCAGTCTTTAAGGCTCCTTCCCACCCAAACCATTCCATGATTCTGTGACTAATAGACAGGTAACTGCACCAATATAATCAATTAACAGACTTAAGATAAAAAAGAATCACAACACAGGTATTGCTTAATGCTGGCTTTTCATTTTGGGGTATAATTGCTTGGTCAGAAGTAAAATACTCCTGTGCAGGCCATTCTCACATATTTATAGTACAACTCGTGCTAAGGAGCTATTGGAGCTAAGCAGGTCAGCATCTTCAGAAACTTTGATTTTGGGAGCCTTGGACAGTGAGCTAATGTCTTCCTTTGGCTGCAGTGTTGTAAATCCAGATCTATCCACTGAAGTCAGCTGTAATGTATAAGCCAGAAATCAACTGGTAAGGATGGTAAAGCTCTGGTTTTAATTAATTTTCAAGACATAAAGTGAAGCCAAATGTGTTTTTCTAGGCTTATGTCTGTGAGAGGGGTTGAAGAAGCACATGTAGAAGGGAAATGGTTCCCTGTCATAAAAACCCAGCACAGTGAAGCACTGGAACAGTGACTTTGGTTACAGCTCTAGACTATGACCATGAACAGTGGAGTCTGGGGTTTTCTTCCCTCAGCAATTAAGAATTTTAGTTAGTACACAACTTAGGGAAAGTC